TTATTATTATTGAACTGCACTCCCAAATAAACATGGAATTTTCAAAAATGCTGGACAATTTATGCTTTGATAATCTGGTAACAATTGATAAATTGATAAATGAATTCTAATTAAATAATACATACATTTTATTTCTTCTATTAACCTTTAAAAGAACAAAAACAAAGCACAAGGCATAATTTTCTGATTAAAAAATTTTTTTTTTTATCCAGACCATGAAAAAAACCTTTTGAGTAGGGGCAAATTTTGTGAGTAGGTCGCGTTACTGCAAACAAACATTTTTTTAAGGATGGCCTCATTGTATCGATCTTTTTTACAAATCTTTTGATTTCTTGCAAAATGCCCCACCTACTGATTGTTAACATTAACAACACTGTCACGAAAATCTTTCACATTCGTTTTTGTGCCTTAAAAATGGTCAAAAATGTGTTTCCAGTGCCGCAAGACATTGTAGATAATAAATAGACATATAATAGTGTGTTCTTATCAAAAGTACATTTACTGTCTAATAAATGTTCCCAAATTAATGCTGACATTTTAAAACAGACATCTTTGTTTGTTATTAAGTGAAAAAATCTAACATAAAGATGGTTCAGGCTTCCCAAACTTTGACTAATTGAGCGATTCACACAATGGCGTGACCTAATTCTTCAACGTTTTTGACATGTCTGTAAATATCTGTATATTCCAAAGCTAAAAGCTATATATCAGTGATGTTTGCCATGTAAATATTATACTGTGCTTCTCTTAGTTCATGGTACTTAATGCTTTGAAACAAGAAAGAGCAACACATGAAACATAATTACTAATGGTACAAAAATTGTCATAAGCTGTAACATAGTGGTATTTTCTGCTGTATGACACAAGAAAACAACAATATATTCAGCCAAAATCAGTTTAAATGGGCAAGACGTAGACCATATGTCAGCCATTTTGAAAACAATTTTGTCATCATATAAATGGCGGTAATGGTGTTTTATTTCATTTTTTTCATGTTTCAGTTAAAATTTCTACATGCTATTTTGCTTAATTTTAAATATTAAAACTATTTGTACATTGTAACTCAAAAATTATTTTTTCAACAAACAAGAACATTTAGAAAATGATGATTGTTTCAGACGTATATGTTTCAGACGTATGCACAAATTTAACGGACTATTGTTGCTTTTTACAGAAATTTGTAAAATCTTGTTCTGTTTTACATCAAAATCTAAAGATTTAAAATATATTGTACAAAAACTTTGTTGTTTAGGTGTTTGAATGAAATATGTCATTTCTGACCAAATTTAACACTGGTAACATGAAAATATGCCATTACCGTGAAATAAGTGATGACGCGGAATTAGTGATGTTGAGTACATGACAAAAGGATCAAAATAAATTAAACAAAATAAAGATTCAGGATGATTTAATTTTTATAACTGCAGTTGTGATTTATGTGTAAATAGATCGATACAACGGGGTTCCAGGCTATATCAATTTGCAGCTAAATGACATCACTAGACGTTGACAATAACATTATTGTTCCCACTTAACGTGACGTAACCACTAAAAATGTGGCGCGCTGACAATAAGAACGGACACAAAACGGGCAGCATTTATTTGTTGATGTCGTGTTAGAATCGAAATAATATATCCAAATCGGTGATTTTATTGCTTGATTACATCACTGTTTGTCGTTCAGATGCGCATCATTATATCACTTTTATGTGATATAATTCCCCGCATCTGAACTCCAAACAGTGATGTTATTGAGCAATAAAATCACAGTTTTGGATATATTATTTCTTAATTAAAAGTTTTTTTTTCATTGACAGCTGATAATAACTGATCAATCTGTGGGCTTGATCTGACCTGCAAGGCTGTTGACATTGTGTGATACAAATTAGATTAAAAAAGATAATCAAAATTTGTTATCAGATACGCATGGACAAATAATTTTATTGGAAGGTAGCTCATTTGAACAATTCAGATTTAAAGCATTGATGGACTGATTTGACTGGTAAATCATGATGAACGATTTTTCTAGGGGTGTATGCTATACATTTAGGTTTTTTAACAATATCAGTATGCTGTTGTTTTGAATATCTCAAATAACATCATTCATACTATGTACAATGTATTATTATTGGGCCACTCGGTCACAATTACTGATACTTGGGGTATGCCTCTAACTTGTGATCCTTATTCAGTATTCTTACCAAGAAGGTGCCTCCAAACTGAATAAATTATATTTCCATAAGTTTCAACCTACATGTACCAATTATACAATTCAATAAAAAGTTGTATAAAGTCAATTGTAAACTAGAACAATCAAGTAATGTTTAAGTAAAGAATCAAATAATTGTAATCTGATTTCAGTTTCAAGGATCTTTTGAAGAGTTTTTCAAGCAGCAGAAGGTATGTAAACTGGCACATTAAGCCAAAGAAATAAACATATTTTTAGCTCACCTGAGCATGCTCAGGGTGAGCTTTTAGGATCGATGATTGTCCGTCGTCCGTCGTCCGTCCGTCGTCCGTTCACATTTAGTTGTTAACACTCTAGCGGTCACATTTTTGCCTCAATCATCATCAAACTTGGTCAGGATGCTTATCTAGTTTATAGCTCGGATGAGTTCGAACATGGGTCATCTCGGATGAGAAACTAGGTCACAAGAGCTAAAAATAGAAAAACCTTGTTAACACTCTAGAGGTCACATTTTTGCCTCAATCATCATCAAACTTGGTCAGGATGTTTGTCTAGGTGATAGCTCGGATGAGTTCGAACATGGGTCATCTCGGATGAAAAAGTAGGTCACCGGAGCTAAAAATAGAAAAACCTTGTTAACACTCTAGCGGTCACATTTTTGCATCAATCATCATCAAACTTGGTCAAGATGCTTGTATAGGTGATAGCTCGGATGAGTTCGAACATGGGTCATCTCGGATGAAAAAGTAGGTCACCGGAGCTAAAATAGAAAAAACCTTGTTAACACTCTAGCGGTCACATTTTTGCATCAATCATCATCAAACTTGGTCAGGATGCTTATCTAGTTGATAGGTTGGATGAGTTCGAACATGGGTCATCTCGGATGAAAAAAGTAGGTCACCGGAGCTAAAAATAGAAAAACCTTGTTAAACACTCTAGCGGTCACATTTTTGCATCAATCATCATCAAACTTGGTCAAGATGCTTGTCTAGGTGATAGCTCGGATGAGTTCGAACATGGGTCATCTCGGATGAAAAAGTAGGTCACCGGAGCTAAAAATAGAAAAACCTTGTAAACACTCTAGCGCGGTCACATTTTTGCATCAATCATCATCAAACTTGGTCAGGATGCTTATCTAGTTGATAGCTCGGATGAGTGTGAACATGGGTCATCTCGGATGAAAAAGTAGGTCACCGGAGCTAAAAAATAGAAAAACCTTGTTAACACTCTAGTGGTCACATTTTTGCATCAATCATCATCAAACTTGATCAAGATGCTTGTATAGGTGATAGCTCGGATGAGTTCGAACATGGGTCATCTCGGATGAAAAACTAGGTCACAGGAGCTAAAAATAGAAAAACCTTGTTAACACTCTAGTGGTCACAATTTTGACTCAATTGTCATCAAACTTGGTCAGGAAACTTGTCTAGGTCATTGCTGGGAAGAAATTGAACATGGGTCATCTCGGATGAAAAAGTAGGTCACCGGAGCTAAAAATAGAAAAATCTTGTTAACACTCTAGTGGCTACTCTTGTGATCCAAATATTCTGTTAATTGGTCTGAAAGTTTGTTTTGATGATTTCTAAGTCAAGTTCGAACATTGGTCATCTTGGATGAAAAAAACTAGGTCACACCGCCCAAATATGGAAAAACCTTGTTAACATTCTAGTGGTCACATTTTCGACTCAATTATCATCAAACTTGGTCAGGATGCTTGTATAGGTAATTGCTTGGATGAGTTCGAAATCGCATGTGGAACTAGGTCACCGGAGCTAAAAATAGAAAAATCTTGTTAACACTCTAGTTAGTCCCCTACCGGTTTAACCGGAGGGGACTTTAGGTTTACCCTCCGTCCGTCTGTCCGTCTGTCTGTCTGTCCGTCTGTCTGTCTGTCCGTCTGTCTGTCTGTCTGTCAGTCCGTCAGTCCGTCCGTCCACAAAACTGGATCCCGCGATAACGCAAAAAGTACTGAAAATATTTTTATGAAACTTGATATATGGATAGATGGCAGTATGGAGATTATGCACGTCTTTTTTTTTTCTTCCTATGTTGAAAATTCTGGTTGCTATGGCAACAAATAGTCTGAAAATATGGCAAATTTAACACATAAACTGGATCCAGTGATAACTCAAAAAGTACTGAAAATATTTTTATGAAACTTGAAATATGGGTAGATGGCAGTCTGGAGATTATGCACATCTTTTTCTTTTCTTCCTATGTTGAAAATTCTGGTTGCTATGGCAACAAATAGCCTGAATTTCAAGATTCTGATTTAAATTTTTCAGCTTTTTCACTATATGTTCTTTATTTCTTAAGGTGTTTACTTCAAACTTTAAATATAAGTTTCTGGTCATCAACCACATCATATGTGACAAGGTTTATAACTCTGGCACAAAAAATATCAGTATTACCTCCTTGAACTTAGATTTTTTAGGGGAAAAAATGTTGTCTTTTTTAAATAACTTCTTTATTTCCTAATGTATCTACTTCAAACTTCATATATATGTTTCTTATTATCACTCGACATTTTTGAGAAGGTTAAATACTCTAGCAAGACTATTTCCAGAATTATGTCCCCTTTGAACTTAGATTTTTTTCGAGAAATTGGTATTTTCACTCCAACTTCTTCATTCCTTATAGGATTTACTTTAAAGGTACTCCACTGAGGTACGGCCGAATGTCACAAAAAAAAGTAAAATTTCACGAACCGATATTTTTTTGTTACCTGCGAGTTAGGGACATTCAAACAGAATCAGTGATACATTGATATGTGTTCTTTGGATTGGCAAGTCGTTTGAAATACATATTTTCTCCAATTTTGTGGGAAAAGCGTTTAAACACCTTTCAGTTTGCAAATCTGAATAAAAACAACGGTCACGTGATGATTCTCGGGATGACTAAAAAGCGAAACGGAGAATTTTTTGTGTATCGGCAGCAACGAAAGTGCGAAACCGGAATATACCAACAATCCATAAATTTAAAAGCAAATAATGGGTTTGTTTGTTAAATTTCTTGTTGTTCACATATGTTCTTTGTGAGAAAAATCTTTCAAAAGCAATTTCAATATATTTAAAGCATTACATTGTTGTAATCATGTTTTTTTCTCCATTAAAATGATGAATTTAGCTAAACGTACGGAGTTCGAAACTGACATACACAAATTTTACAAATATTCTATGTTAATTTGAGAGCTTTCGTGTAATTATTAAATATTATGTATTAACTTTGTAATGGTTAAAATATCATGATATCTAGGCTAAGAAAATTTACTTTGTCAATCAGTGTAATGGGTCCTATTTCAAAGGTCACTTTGGTTTATCTGACACCCGTTCAGGAAAAAAAACTTCGTAATACCTTTTATACAACGAACATGAATTTGAGTATTGTAAGCATAAAAAATCACACGCACACACAGAATGTTATTCCAGAATTTTCTCTTTAACTCTGATCAAAGCACTGAAAGCACTGGCTAAATAGAGAATGAATCCGGCCTCATTATAGGACATTTAGGCTTCAACTTTATTAGATAATATTTCTAATGTATGTCTAGTGCACATAATTAAAATTCTTTAAGAAAAAATCGATCTCCTTTGCTAGATAGATCTGAAATTTAATATTTATCATTTTACATACATACTTGCATATTTATCCGCACTGGATGTAAACTTTGTTGATGAAAAGATTACTATGTTTTGATCTAGACATTCAAAACTATAGGTAATTGATACCTGTTTCATGCACATGGTAAACATTATCAAGAAGGTCGGAAAAGAGTTACAATCTGGCTCTATTAATATTGTTATTATCATTATTGATTTAGCAGATATCCTGATAAATTTTTTCTTATTGGAAGGCCACCGTACTAGTGATGGGTCAATTGAGCTGTGCTTTAATGTTACCAATATATTGAAAGCTTCCCGGTGGAAAAGAAATTGAGAGCGTTATAAGAGTAAAATAGGGAAAACTGGAATAAAGACAATCAAGGCGACGGCAACGTTCACATGACGCAGCCCCCGACATAGTCGAGCTTCCACAGCAGGGTTATTGCCGTGACTAGTGAAATAAACTTAAAACTGATTATATAGTTGTTGTTTTTTTAAACCCTAACTTTCTTTCAAATTAAACGAAACAAACAAAATCATGATACAGCAAGCCAAATGTGAAGGGCAGGTAAGTAAAAGTAACTTTAAGAATTCAGTAAGATATTATTAACCTCACCTCATACAACAACCATTGCTTAAACTATGTTTTATAATACTTCCAACTCCTAGACGGTAAAGGGCAATGCATATATAAACCATTGTTTTTACTCCTTATAGCCTGTTTATCATGGCATACTCATTGTTAATAGTTTTGTAAATGTTTTGATAAAAAAAGTCGGGTTCATTTCCCGACTATTTTGAAAACACGAGTGACTGGTTTCAAAAACTACAATGGCTAAATATTGATCAGATGCATTTCATTGCATAAATAAGTTAGGGAGAGAACGCTGCTTTTCTTTCTTTATAGCACGAAAACCTTTACTTTTCTCTACTTTTGTCTCTTCTTTCTTCCTGTTTTTCATTTTTGTTGTTTATTCTTTTTATTTACCACTTGAAAGCCTGAAATTAATGTTTCATTGATAATTTAGCTGTGGTCCTGTTTTGCTTGGTCGTGTGGGTGTTGTATTCATTGAATGTTACCATTCCTTTTTGTATTTCTGATCGAAGATTAGGAAATACAAAGCTAACATTCAATCTCTGACACAGCGGTTTCACGACAAAACTAACAACAAACAGTTCTTAAAACACCTGAAAACTACCGATTTAAAAGAAAGAAATATTTTCATTTTGTTATAAGTATCCAACAAATTACAACGCATTCAAAGTTTAAAAGTAGCTTTGGCTTATAGAATTGTCAATGAATGCACATTCACAAATTACGCGGATGAATATCATTTTAATCAATGAAAATGCTATTTTAAGCGATGTCGAGAGCTTATTTCACAAATAAATCTGACTGTCGAGTAGTGGAATATATACATGTCGGACTGTTTTGGCGAGAAGATTTTTGTTAAATTATTTACATCAATGTTAAAGAACAGGTTTATCTTGAACAAAAAACCTCGAAATTAACCCGAAATGCAGTGAAAAATCTAAATTTAGTATTACTTGATTTTATTCAGGCATTGTTCGTATATCTTCTCCGTGGTGCAAGGGTAACGCGCTCGTTTAGTGTGTCTGGGGTTCAAATCCAATTCAAGGCAATTATTTTTTATAAAGTTTCTTTGTTAAGGAAATAGCCACGATATGCAAGAATAAAGTGTGGCTGTCATAAAAATTAACATAAATGATTTTTGATGCAACTCTAGTCATGCAAAATGTTTCAAACTCTGGTACCAAGCAAGAAGAATTATAGTACATAAAAATAAACTTATACAGGAAAATAATACAGTTGTACAGTGCGATTTATATTGCAAAGATCAGAAAATACCACAGAGCTTGCAGCCTTTTGATTTATCTTGTTTTTCGTATGTATTTCTAGAGATTAAATGGGTGGTTCTCGTAATACTTTAAGATTTATAAGATTGTGTATTAAAAGCCTTTGTAAATTGTTTCGGAAATACTGGATATCGTTTTGAAAATTTTAGAGCTACTTAAGTATTTTAAACACGTGAACGAAAAATTTCACAGTAACAGGAATTAAAATTAATTCCTAAGTATTTCGATTATAGTGATTATACCGTAAGCAAACGTTAAAGGTCTCCTAAGAAATGTTCTTTGGAATTAAAAATTAAGTGTAAGCACTAGAACATAAACCACCAGATTGCTTGCAAAATCTTTATCGGCAGGATAAATTGGTTCACAAAACATGATTTTTCACAGTCAAGATCAAATGAACAGACTGTTTTCTTCCTGTTACCGAAAAAAACACACCAGGAAGATTTCAAGTAGAGGACACGTCACTGACAGAATGTTCTTAATATTTGAATAGAAAAGAATTTGCTAAAGCCAATTTATGAAAGAGAAATCGGGGATGCTACTTATTAAATTATTTGCCTATAAAAGAGGATTTATTTTACTCGTTTAGATTATTTTCAAAAACAAAAGTCTCAAAAAGCAAAGGTTAGCTGATATTTAGATGTAAACCGCGACATATAAAATTAATTTACCTGTGAAACTGGAGTGAAAATGTGATAGTTTATCCGTTTTTTCTTCAGTGCCTTCAGCACTTTGATCTTATCTGTAGTACAAGTAAACTATATCGTTTTCACCAAAAAATCATTAAATTCTAAACAAGTTTCTAATAGAATCATAAACATTTATTGTATCATAGTTTGAAGACTTTTCTGTTGAAAACGTGTCAGAGTTAAATCGAATTCATATACATGCACAGTGCGTAACTGGATTGCAGGTAATAAATACCAACACTCCAGAGCATGCCCATTGATGTATTCATTCTTCTTTTTTTTTTTTGGGGGGGGGGGGGGTGCTTTTATGGAATAACGATAGAAATGCCACATTCAGAAGCTAGTTCATAGGTTTTTTTCTGGGGTTTCATATTGTTACAATAGGAAACGTGCATTTAATTTTACCTATGGTATGAATATGATGTAATTGTGTGTGGAACGTGTATGTACGATCCTATCAAGATAGCCTACGAAACGTCACTCATTACATACACAGATGCCCGTTTGTGCCAGAAACAATTTTGCAAAGGGGGCACCTGAGTTCTTTCTCCACCAGTAAAACTGAAGAGTCGCCAAAATGACCTACATAGTTTTGTGTGACGTAACCCCCACTCCATCCCAAATACAAACAATCAAATCAAATGAGACATGTCATTAACTACATGTATTTGATTTAAATACGTTATAGATAGCGTTAAATACTTTTATTAGTGTGATTACACTGTGCTCGTTTTAGTATAAATATCACCGATGCATTATGTATGCCTTAGAATATTGAAATTGAAATGTCAATGAAAATAATTGTACATGTATATAATATCATTCCGTTTTGTCTAGAAAATGACCGCTTCGCTGGCGTTTGATTTTTCAAGACAACGAAATTGCTACCTTGATTATCTTTTATACAGTTTTTCTTCGTTATACTCAAGTTATATAAACATGATAGGTTAGAGAGTTGAGAAAAAATCAATAGACTTTTTTACCCCCCGTTTACTCTGTTGTTCCAAAAATGTCCGTTGCGTATTTTAGTTATACCCGATGAATTGTGGGTAACTTCTGTACATGTCTGGGAAAACCAACTTTCATTTTTGCATCAAAAGCTAATGTGAATATGCATTTTCTAGCATAATTGTTGTTAGAGGGTTGGTTACAGTGTAAGTTATTGTTATTTTAGTCATAATATTGTGATTTGTGGGGAATTTGTATACATTTTTTTTTTGACACCAAATTACCCGTCAGACCTCAGTGTAGCCCCTTTAAAATCCCACATCGTAATAATATGACAAGGTTGTATAAACATAATTTCCTTACTAAGCATGGAAACTTAACACATTACTGTGATATAGACAAACTTATTTTATTATGTTTTGTGGTTGATATTTTCAAATACAGACTTCATCCTCAAATTCATTATAAATGGCAATACACAGGAGTGTATGACAATTAAAGAACTTTTTGAGGGACCGGTAGGGGACTACTGTATTGCCCGCAATACTATCAAATGCTTGTTGCTACTGTTTTGATCCAAGTATCCTTGAAATTGGTCTAAAAGTTTGTTTTGATGATTTCTAGGTCAAGTTTGAATATGTGTCACCTGGGTAAAAAACTAGGTCGCACTGCTCAAATATGGATAATCCTTGTTAACACTGTAGTGGTCACATTTTTGACTCACCTGTCATGAGACTTGGTCAGAATGCTTGTCTAGGTTATTGTTTGGATGAGTTTGATAAATCAGGTGAGCGATCTAGGGCCATCATGGCCCTCTTGTTTTTAGTTTATACCAATTTATTTTATTTTGATTGTGATGGAAGCTAGAAGCTTATTGAAACACGGCTTTATTGCCATCTGTAGAGCTATTTCCTCATATATAATATATATAGACAAAAAAAGGTATATTGACTTCCATACAAAATACTAGATCACTATATCTGTACTTATTGCCAAATGGCTTAACTATTAAGCCAATGTGTATCTCCTTGGTAACAAGACAATAATGTTAAAATCTTTGACAAAACTACAAATGATAGCATATTTGAAGAGTGCAAGGTCTGGTTAAATTAGAACTACTTTTTCTTTGGATGGTTTTAGAACAATTTTCTTTAGTGTATGGAATTTGTTTGATCAGCCCATGCTTATTTATGAATATTTCATATAGGGAACACAGTATACAAAACTGGCATAAATAAATATAGAACTTGATCTCTAATACATGTGTGTCACTCAAAGCTAAACATATGAGTGAATCTGCCCATAGTGAATGTGATTCATCAAGGTGATCAAAAAGAAATGATTAAAATCATTGAATATTATAACATCATGATACTGTAAATATTTCTTTATTGGCACACCATATCTTATCTATAGTCACTTACTAAATTTTCCAATCTGTTCAAGCTTTAAGGAAAAAGCAGTTCCCTACATTTGAACATCTACTTTATTTATTTATTTATTAAGAAAAAGTAGCTAATGCATGTAATTTTATTTATTTATTAATATTTATATCAAATCTTAAAAAAAGCAGTTAACATACATGTTCTTTATTTCTACATTCAGAAATATAGCTGATACATGTACATTTATTTCTATTTTTAGAAAAAGCAGATCAATCAACAATTTGCTCTACCAGAGAGGAAAGCTAAGGTTGACCAACTTGTTAAAACAATAGAGAACACTGATAACCCCGATACTAGATATTGTATATGTCGATCCACAGATGGTACACGCTTTATGATGTAAGTGTCCATTTATAATATTGAACTTCAAATGTTTGTGAAGGTTTTATTCAAAACAAGGCTTTATGCTGTTGACATCAATGTCCAACCTGTTTCGGTTCGCATCCTGTGTGTAATTTATGTTATCATACAATGCACAAAAACTGTGCAATATTGAACAATTAACTTTCTGAACAAACCTTCAATATCATCATCACCACAGTGTCAAATTCTTTTATTTGCCAACATCTCAGTAATAAGAAAAAAAACAACAACAACTGTATGATTCTGTTTCATTTTTTGTTTACATTATTTTTCAACGATCTCATTAAAACCATACCTTAAACTGTCCCTCAACCACCTATCGCTAGCGAAGAGAAATGGACTAAAAACGATGATCTGATTTTAATGAGATTGTTTCAGCAATATATATGTATGTATACATGTAATTGATGTATTTCAGAGCATGTGACAATTGTGAAGAATGGTATCACGGTGACTGTATAGGTGTGACAGAGAAAGATGCTCAGTTTATCAAACAATATTACTGCGGTCCATGTCGTCGTAAGTACAATAAATCTCTAGAATGCACTTGGTTCATTTACGCTTGAACTCAGTTTTTCTTATAAAACAAAGACTAAGCTGTGTAGTCTGA